AAGGATTATTCCCCTCCCTGTCTGCCTCTAACATCAGACACCACCAAGGAAGATGACAGCCTAATCTACACATCAGAAAGCAACACTCACAAAAGGACTCGGGGATACCCAGAGGAATACACTTCCACTCTCTACATCTGCTGAGCAAAAATGGAGTTTCTTTGCTACCTAAGAGGACTTTTACAATCTTTGATTCCTTCTCAGTCTGAAGAAGGGTGTTTGTGCCCGAAAGCTTGCAAAGAAAGGCATTTTTTGCTACTATTTAGTTGGTCCAATAAAAGATATTGCTTCTGAGCCAAAAGCTTTGTGTATCTTATGGTTTCAGCAGGCTTTCCACACACTGTTGCAGTACAGAAAATCACTTGTATGCAAACCTAAATCTGGTCTGCAGAGTAGTTATAAGGAAGTGTAAGACAGCCTCTGTAATAAGCTGCCATTAATGGTAAAAATCAGTGACAATTGCTGATGAATCATGGCAGCAGCTGCACTTGAGCTTGCTGCCCCCAGCCCCTACTGAGATCCCCTGTGCGATGTGAGCATGACATGTGGTTCACCCACAGACAGGGGCTCATGGTTGAAGTTGCATATGACTGCCACATGAAGGGAGCTGCTTTCATGCCAGCTCATGAGTCAATATGTGATCTAATAGACATCCAGTATAGACACCAAATGCTTCTTCTAAGTGATCTCCACCCAGCCAGGCAGTTCCACAGCTAGAAGACCCAGAACCAAAGTGTCTTTTGGCTGCTGTTCATGGACTTTCACAACACAGACCATGGGTATTTGTGGCTTAGCTGCACCCTTTCAATTAAATCCAAGATGCAGATAATGTAATGATGTGGGATTTATGACACCCCTGGGAACAAGATGTTGTATTCAATATTAGATTGTGCTACTGTATGTGGTTTTGTCTGCATCTTGCTTCATACTGGTAAGTGCATTCTTCATTTTAAGAATTGAATGTTCAGTGAGTGCCAACGCATATACCTTTGTGACCGCTTTGCAGAATCAGGCCCCCAGTAATTAGCGCAAGGATAACACACGTTCAAAATAGTCTTCACTTAACCCTACTGTTTCAGAGCCCCATGGGATTAAACATGTTGCACTGGAATCTCTTGCATTGCGGGTTGCTCAGGTATATTGCAGGGATGTCCTTTTACTTGTGTGACAGTCATGAGCACTTCAGCAGAAGGGCCACCAAACTGGCAGAGTGGGAAGAGGGAAAGCAACTCTTGAGTTTTTCTTAATTTTGCGATCACAGTTGTGTAAATCGGTGATTTTGAGTTGCATGGGAAATACTGTTTAAATATAAACAGCACCTTTAAAAAAAGTCTACCCCAGATGCTAGGTGCCCTTGCTTTCAGATAAAGCTAACAAAAGAACATAAGAACTGCCATGTACTGGATCAGACCAGTATCCGGTGTCACACAGTAAATGCTGAAAGGGAGTGTGAACAGACTACAACCACCTCTCCCGCTTGCAGCTTCCAGCATTTAAGATCATTATAATCTACCTGGTTCCTTCGAAACTCTTCACTCCACAGGTGTTAAGGACCTGCTCTCCTTTTTAGACGGTCTTCATGTTCCACTAATTAAGCTCTCCTTTCTTCTGTAATTCTCTCGTTAGCTGCTCCTCTGAATGTAGCTTCTGTTTCACAGCTGTAGGGTGTTTTTACCTCTAGCTAAAAACAGTAATTTGGGTGTGGAAACATTAACTCAGCTGAACATCAACTCAGGTGCAGAAATGACTTTCCGTGAAGCACTGGATGTACTGTCAAGATGCTCAAGAAGGCTGGATTTTGTTTTATGAACTTAAAGAGATATACATTTAATCCTAATGAGAGCAGGACTAAAGAAAGAACAACTTTTGATTATTTTTTGCCTAGTTTGTTGTATTTTTATACATAATATAGGACACAACAAATAAACACACATTCCAGTAAGGTTATATTTGTTTTTGCTTAGATCGGGAACCCTAGTAAAACGTCGTTTATTTTTACCTGGACAAGAATGTTTGTTGTGTTATATGTGGTGATGCACCACACCATTTGCACCCCACTTTTCAAAATCCTAGATCCACCCATTGACACTGTCTACAGGTCACATCAAAGTCCACAAAACCTTGTATGCAGCATGGCTTTTATTTCAATGTATATGCACATTGCAAAGTACTGCTCTCCAAAACACAGGGTGTGTTTCCTGATCTTTGTATGTTACTTTTTAGGCACAAATGTATAAAAATGTAAAGAATTTTATCCTATCTGCTTCAACACAGAAGCATAAAGATGGTAACAGTTGCAAAAGCCAAGTGTACAAAGGGCCTCTGAAAACAAATGTGCAAATAGACAGTTCTGCCAGCCATTCACCATTTTGCATGCATTTAGGTGGCTTTTCTGCTCCCCCAAGGATCCTCCAACAAATGTTGCAGGCATATTGTTAAATGCCCTTTGAAAATGTGGTGCTAGACATATTTCTTTGTTCCTAATTCTTTTGCAATGTTGCAGTGCTAGCTGGAAAACAATAAGCATAGGTTTCATGTTACCAGGCACAGTATTTGTGCAAGATTTTGTCTGTCACACAAAATCTCTCTATTTATTGTATGTTTCCAGTGCTTCCTGGGCACAAAATTCTCTGGAGAGTGTCAAACTCACACAGTCCTGTCAAGTGCCACATTTTCCTGCTATCTCTGCTTTCACAGATGAAGGTGAAAAAAGTCAAACCACTCCTGAGTGACAGCACACATATTGATGTTGGGAAGAGATTATGGCTGCTAATGCTGGTATTTAGGCTAGGATCAGGAATAAAATAATGGAATTTACTAGTTTGGAGCAATAAAATATAGTGTAGAATGATTTTTTTTGTGTGTGCTAATGCTACCCACTTTGGGCATTTTCTTATAACAAATACAGAGATTAGGATTGGCAGAATTGCAGGGTCTCTCGCCCACCTAGGATGCTGAGATTGCTACTACCCTCTGAAGTGGGCAAATTCTGTGCTCTGGTGGCTTGTGCCATTCTGGAATATCTTTGCCAAAGTCAGCAATACACATGGATATCAGTTTGGGATAGCAGCAGAATGTATTGCAATGGCATAGTTTTCTAGGGGGCATTTTCAAAGGCAAGGAAAAGCAATTTGCATGGAAAATGGATGAGCCAGTTCCCCCCTCCGTGCCTTTAAAAATATCTTCTAAGCTTTACAGAGAAGAGCTGACCCTGTATCACTTGAGCTCTCAGCCCGGTGCTCATGCTGACCACGGTGCTATTATACCACTGATTCCCAACCAGGGTACTATGGCACCCTGAGATCCTTTTAAGGGTGTTGCACAGTATTAACGTGGCTAGGTGTGCAAACACCCATACATGATTCACAAGACAAATCCAGAGATTTCAAACAGGAATCTGCAGTATCGAACATCCTGGCATGTTATGGTTTCTCTGGGGTTTTTTTTGCAATAGGAAAATCAGTTTATTTTTCTGTAGGCAAGAAAGGACAGAAAGGTAGGTGCTGGCACTTTCTTAGGGGCCCTTGAGTCTAAAAAGGTTGAGACCCAGTGCATTATATTATTGCTAAATAGAAAGAGGGTACTGGTTAGATCCCAGCTAGATAGGAGAGGGGTTCTGGTGCAGAACAGGTGCCTTGTGATACAGGCTTCAGTGAATAAATTGCTAAAAGAAGCATCTTTGGTTCTGTGGTTGGTCGACTCTGACAGAGGGACTCATGGGCGGCTGTGACTTCATTAAGCAGCTATCAATATGTGCGTCCCTCTAGGCAGAATACAAATGAAAACATTCCCGTCATGCATTTTTGCAGTAAAATATAAAAGGGCCAAGATAAATTGTGGATGATGTAAATTGTCAACTTTTTACACTATGGGGCCAGTACGACTTAGATTCAAACAGGCCACGATTATTAGTATCTGTATTTTGACTGTGCCTAGAAGTGGCGGCCAGGCCGCTAGCGTGCTAGCTCTTCACTAGCACTGAATGAGAGGGCTCTGGCCCATAATCTGCTTGGGTTTTCACTCCATTTTGCTGCCCTTTGGTATGCTTGGCCAGGACACGCTATATTAACAGGATTGGAAACCAAGGAGCTGCGGTCTCTCGTCCTGAAGGCGGGCTCTCCGTTGGCCGCTGAAACTCCCTTGTCTCTCGGACCCCAGCCTGAACGAGCTGGGCCGGCAAGAAAAAAAACCCATTTTAGGCTTCCTAAACCGCACAGAGCTGCCATCCCAGACGAGACCCCTGCCGGGCCACTGCCAGTCCAGCTCTGCTTAGGACCGGCACCATACCTAGACTCCTGGCAGCCCCAGGCAAATTTTGCAGGTACCGACCACAGGCACAAGCAGCTCATTTGCGCTACACGCGCCTAAATTCGTGGCACGCACGTGTACAGGCGCGCCCTAACTGAGGCGGGACAGCGCCGCACGTAGACGCACCCACAGAGACCCCCAGCCTCCTCCCAATTCCCTCTCTCCGCCGAGCTGCGGGTGTGCCAAAGGCAGCCAAGCGCCGCACG